AAAAAAATCTATCACGTGACTTTTTCCGACAATTTTTAACAACAAAATAAATATTTAAGGTAATTGTATAGTTCTACTATTCACGTTAATGATACCATTAAATCAGACTTAGGATGGTCGATGGTGTCAAGTCATGGGAGTCTTTTTTATAAAATTTGGTACTTGAACCTATGGGCATGCACGAATATAGGCCAAGAATACGTGACAATAGAATTCCAGCATGCTTCGATGATATTTTTAAGGTAATTTGTATAATACTATATGATATTGAAAATAAAAATGATATTAGGGGGTCAAAAAACGATCAACAAAGTTAAGATCAAATGGCCCTAAATAGAAGAAGAGGAAATCAAGATAAACAGAAGAAATTCAGAATTGTAGAAGGCTTGAGTACGTTCGAAATGCTATCTTAAAACGGTAATTGCATGCTCTCGTTTTTTAGATTGCTTATTCGTATCATCGGCAAGTAGTTCTGAGAATTAAACAAACCTTTTTAGATATTATACACATAGCACAATTGAACAACTCTTAGAGTATTTCCAATAAACTCTTTAAACATTAGATATTCTCTATTTTAAAGAGTCAACATTAAATCATATTCCAAGAGACTCTTTAAATTAACATATTAGTTTAGAGAGCGAGTTTGACTCTCCACATACATATAATTACTGTATGAATCAAAATCCTTCCAAATTTGAAATCAAATTCAGATTTTCCTGAAGTACTCTATATTCTAAGAGTATCTCCAAGCGATTATCTAATTTTAAAGAGCATATTCCATCATTGGAAGAGTATCTATAAGTTTAAAGAGTTAAAATTTAAAAGTACTCCAATAAACTCTTTATATTTAACACTTAATTTTGCTATTTCAAAAAAAAAAAATTTATTATTTTTCTTTATCTTTTATTTTAACTAACTTTTCTTTAGATTATTTTATTATTTTCCTACATTAAAAATTGAAACACTTTATCTAAAGAAAAGCTAGTTAAAATAAAAAATAAAGAAAAATAATAAATATTTTTTTGAGAGTAGTAAAATTAAGTGTTAAATATAAAGAGCTTGTTGGAGTACTTCTAAATTTTAACTCTTTAAACTTATAGATGTTCTCCAAATGATGGAATATGCTCTTTAAAATTAGAGAATCTCTTGGAGATGCTCTTAGAATATAAAGCACTTCAGGAAAATATGAATTTGATTTCAAATTACGAATTGACATTTTGTCGAGTTGTCGCAACTTTGTGCGAGGCAAGGCCCAAAAGGGCCTAAATTCTCTAGCTCCTCATTCCATATAGCAATGGTTTAGGACGACCTATTGAGTTGAGATTCGAAATTGAATTTTCCCTACTAAGCTCGAGAGGTCACGTGTGACCTTGTGGGCACACACTGACACAAGTGGCCTCGAGGTCTCAGCATGAAACTGCTAAGCCTTGTACAACGCTGTCCAAGAGTAGATGATTGGACCCAGGGACGGACCCAGCACTTGGCTAGCCTCCTGCGGCCACCCGTGCTGGGTCCGCCGAAAGTTTCAGAACATCCGTCGGCCGGGAAGGAAGATGAAGAAGAAGCGCTGGAGTCTGGATCTTGGAAGGGAGTTGGGCCTGGAATTGGAAACAACCAGCAGAAAGCCTAGGATTTTTTTTTTTGGGGGGCCTTATTTAAAAAAACTGAAAGCATAGCCATGGGTTTTGCTTGAATTCCATTGGCGATGGCCCAATAGCCACAATCCAAATATGAAATATCCCATTCTTTTTGGAGGAAAATACATGGTTCCAGGTCTTTAAAGATTGAAATTCAAAAATCAGG